CCTCTGGACTCACTCCAACCAATCCATGATTATCACTATAAAGACTTTTAACTGAATCAGCTAATGATTCTGACATTTCTCCTTCTCAAATGAAAAGTGGGATTTTTTCAAGCGATTGAGTTTAGTAGATTCATTTATATGCTAGAGGTTATCAAGCAGTGACAAAATATGTCAAAGATACATCAGAGAAATTGAATTATCTGTTACTGGATGTTTAAGTATCTGTGGAAGCACTTGAGGCACAGTCACTCTTGTTCCCATAATGGGACCAGAGAAAGATTGTGTGAATGATTTGTATGATTCAACAGAGCTCATAAGGAGTTGGAGTCAGAGATCTAAAGACCATCTTAAATGTTGACGGAAAGCAGTTGTGATGAAACTTTGATTGCGGTGTCAAATACTGACCCAAGAGACACTTCTACTCTTGCCTGTGCAAAGCATGTATAAATAGACCCTTAGTGGCCTACAATTAATTCTAGAAGAAAGAAAAGGAGCTAGCTTTCTGAGAACATGCATTCTTACTAAATTGAAATTTGGAATTTCTTATGTATCCTTTCTCCCTTAGTCAGCATGTCATCAAGGAAAAAAAAAGGCTAAGAAACCCTTGTTTTGCTTATAATTTGAAACTGGATATGTAATTCTGGGAAGAAGCCTGCCAGCCAAATAATCACCGCTCACCCGAATCTCTTAACCAAGATGGACTTTCAACCATTGTTTTGCAGATTTTCAAATTCTTCTTCCAAATTCTGCCAGAAGAACCAGATAAAAAGAAAGAGATTTCAACTGGTTTCACCTCTGCTTATTTCTGTGGGGATTTCACAGTATCTGACACTATTATCATCTAGAATCCCAGATTATTCCAGTTCTTCATTAACATTCTTCTGATTTATACCATCCTCTTATCCTGGGCACATGGTAATTTAGAATAGAATTTAGCTCATGATTCTGTACTTTATTATTGTCACTACTACAAATCTAGTGTTGATTGAAAGAACTATGTAGCTTTACCGCAGTAAATAAATACTTGATATTCAGTGTTGGAAGTTATACAGCCATAGTTCTCATGGTGGCAGACAAAATATCAAACTTTCAAGGGTGATGAAAATGTTCTATAAAGAATGGAAAACAAATTGTTTCAGGTATATCTACGTATTTGAGTCAAGATAGTTAAAATGCTTCAAAAACTTGTGACCCATGAGTCAAAGTTAAAATTGTGTTTGATGATATCTGCAGTTTCTTATGTTTCATGAGTAAATCAGGGCAGATTCTCATCTTCTTATGCTGAATAACTCCATACCAGAAATCTACCACGCCTTCTGAGAAACAAGGTACTCCTCAGCAAGAAAAAGTGCACAAGAACCTTTACTATCCTGTTCACGTGTTACTCTGGGATTGTAAGACCATCACTCTTTATGTAACATTTCTTCATGTGCCTCAATTTTGTAAAGGACATTATGGGTTAGTTTCTTGTTGCCATTTACCCTTTGTAATCATTTTGGAAATATTTTCGTCTTTTAGAATTATGTAGTATCTTGACAGAGACTCTGTGACACTAACTAGTGATGCCATTAAGAGCTGTGAATCACTATATACAGATGATGCATCAATATTTCCAAGTGTATTGTAGGTCTCAGGAAAATCTTAAATGCATTCACGCTTTATAGTCTGGTGCTCTGTAGGTACAGTGACCATTTTTCCATGCCATTTTACACTAGGTCATTTCTACAGATTTAGTGGCAATTATGTTATTACCTTCCAAAAGGCCAAGTGACAACTGGGTATCAAAAGGATCTGCCTTACCTTGTCATCTGAAAAAAGTAAGCAGCAAGCAGTTTCAGTCCAATGTAAGGATTTGTAAACTGCATACTGCTAACAGAATTTGAGTTTTAGGACATTTCTGTAAGATTCCACCCAGGCCTGGCAATCTAAAAGTAATAATCTATAAATGGAACTTTTTATGTGCACTGGATTTTATAAAATAAAAAAAGTTATTAAAATTAATTTTCCACTGTGGTTTCCAGTTAGCTTCCATCTTCTTTCTGATCCTAAGATGCCTTCATCTAGTTAGATATACTCTTTTACAACAACTCTGTGTTTCACGTAAGGAAATGAGCTTTGCATTAGGATGCTAAGTTATTGTGACTGTGTGCTTTAACATCAGCCTTTATCTTTTCATCCTGTCACTGGACATTACTTTCAAAAATTGAGATTTTCAAGCAAAAATATTAGTGATCCTTGAGCAAGTGTTCTAAAGGTCATTTAGCATCCTGCATCACAAGCTGCAGAAGTAATAAGATATTTGCCATTTATCGCCGTAACTAAAGCAATAATGTACAATGATGATTTCAGCTGCTGTCCAAGAGCAGAGCCTGATGCCACTATTCCAAATCCATAGCCCATTTCTGATGTTCAGTTCACTGGTGATAGGACAAGAGGAAATGGCCTCCAGTTGTAGCAGGGGAGGTTTATATTAGATACTAGTAAAAATTTCTTTACTGCAAGAGTGGTCAGGCATTGGAACAGGCTGCCCAGGGAAGCAGTGGAGTCACCATCCCTGGAGGTGTTCAAGGAATGTGTAGACATGGTGCTTGAGGACATGGTCTAGTGGGTATGGTAGTGTTGGGTTGATGGTTGGGGTAGATGATCTTATAGGTCTTTCCCAACCCTAGTGATTCTGTGATTCTGTTAGTTGTTTATATTATGCAAACCCCTCTTGAATTGCACTCTGTACCTCAGGCCCATTTTGTAAGTAGAAGCAGCAAAATGGTCAGAAGAAAGAAGCAGCGATCATGGGAGTTTTCTCCTGCAGTCACAGAAAGAGCTACCTAGAGCATTAATGCTCCTGTAAAGTAAAACAAGATCTCTCTGAAATATGGACTGAATTTTCAGTAGAGATTTTTACTATAAGCCTTTGTTACCCCTTTGAACTGCACCTAGAATGGAAGTAACTGCAAGAAACACAAAAGCTAAGTGAAATACAAAACAGGTCACTGTAGTCAGGACCTCCAATAGCTTTTTGGTGCTTTTTCAAACATCACTCCAATCAGTGTGATAAATCCATTGTTGTGATGATCTAATCTTACAGATACAGAGGTAAAACTCATAACAGTGAAGTCTTTACTTAAAGGGAGCCATCACCAGCTAATGAAGAGAAATAGTGGAAAAGCACTTTATCCTAAAAAAAACAGTTGCATAGTCCTTCAGTCCATAGAACTACTAGCTTCACCTTTTAGATGGAAAAACTTTTGGTTGAGTAATAGCGTCATGATCTGCTTCTTTCTCTCCAATAGTAATGGTGGGAAGCATCCCATCACACAGATGAGGGAAATGCTAGTTTTGGTACACTAACACTGAAAGAACAGGAAGATGAAAGTCAGCCAGAGAAAATAATAGGTTCTGTTTTCTTTTAGTGACCATTCAGAAAAGTGCTGTGTTAGCCCAAAGAGGAAGGAGGCGTCTACATCAGAACAGGTCTTTTTGCAGCTCTGCTGTGATCAGTAAGCAAAATAAAATCACACCAACAAAGGTGTCATTCCCACCCACAGTAGTGAGTGGAAAGAGGCTGCTATTGACAACAATGCCTTTTGTCCCTTATTTTCCTGGGACGTGGCATAATAAGATTATTTTTATTAATATATAGACATTTCATTAGAGTACTTAGGGACAGCAAATTTATAATAAACATTGCTACATTAAAATAAAGCAAAATTAAATTAGACTTTAACAGTGTCCTTTTAACAAAGCCATACTAACCAAGTTGGAAAAGAGACTGTAGTAATAGACTTTTAAAAAAACACTACTTCAGTGGTGTAGACTAAATATGAAATCAGAGCCCAATTAAATCAGTGGCAAATTTCCTACAGATTATGCAGGGCCAACGTTTTTTCCCTTATTACACAGAGTTAGTCAGTATTAGGTTGGCAGCCATGTCCCAGGAGATCCGAGATATTTCAAATTACAAAGCGTTTCAAGATGACAGCAACAGTTAAACAGTGGGAGAGCTGAGAAAGCACCGTTAATGATATATATGTTTGTCAGCATGGAGAATTAATTTTTTTGCAACCTCACAACCAACATTTCCTAATTAAAAAAACAAAACAAAACAAAACAAAACAAAAAAAAAAAAAAACCAAACCAACCACACACAAAAAACCTAGTAAAAACACATTCTGTTAACATACTGAGAAAACATTCCAGTCACTCCACTGGTAAGAGCTGACATGGTGATAGTTTATTTTCGTAAATTCAATATACAGAATCATGAGACTGTGAAGATACGTCTGTCACATCTGAGACGTGAATGTCACAGCTGCACTGAACAAGAATGATAAAACACAAATGTACTGAAAACAACAAAATTCTGTAAAGCTTATAGCCATCAATGATCATTTAAATTATTAACAATATCTAAACATTCACAAATCCATAGCAACACATTGATACTAATGTTAACTTGTAATAAATATATTGTACCTTTGAATTCTTGTCTATCATTTGTTACAGGGCATGATATAATTACACATGGAACTAATCTATGAAATAAGTAACAGAGCTCAATATGTTTACTCTTCAGTAACTACAATCACTAACATCAGGAATATTTACCTCCTGAAATTATTTTCATCCCCCTCTGTGTATGTTAGCACTTATAAGTACACTTCTCTATTTGAGTTAAATTATATAGCAAAATTACTGGCAATATTCACTTTTAAATTATCTTGCTCATCTTTGAAATCCTTACGCAAAATCCTTTGAAACAGCTTCTATAAAATTTGGAGCAGACATGAGTATTGTAAATGTGCAGATGATGGCAAAAAGGGTAAATGCAACCAGGCATAATCTGTCTATGACAGCAGCTGCAAACTTCCACTCACTGCAGATCTCTTCACCCTCATCTTGTTTCCTGAAGCGCATTGCTATGAACTGAACTTCCTCCAGGATCTTCACAATGACTGGAATAGTATCCATTAAAGCTTTCTTCTGGACAAGCTCCATATCATCTGGTAAGGGGCAGGTAATCTTTCCGCTCTTGCTACCCAGATCATTCTTCTGAGGGCAGCATAGATTTTCCATCGTGTGGTAGCTACAGATCATGTTGCCATTGCTGGACTGGTGTCCAGGCAGGACATTCATCTCCAGGCTGTTCACACTCAGATGGTGCTTGGGATAGCTGTATTTGCAAGAGAGGGGCTTTATATTTTCCCCAGGTTTTTTCATTCGTAAAAACCAAGCACATCAATGCAGCAGGATGACACGGACCTGAAAGAGAGTGATCATTATAGAAATAAGGAGAACTTTTGTGCACATTTAAATCTTTTTAAACATTTTCTGACGATTTTAGTAAGTCTGTATGGTCTTTTAGAAAGACTGACTGTGTTCTCCAGCCATCTGCTTTCTAACAGGTTTATCTGGTGTCTGGCTTCTTCCCAGTAATGACACTCTTTTGATACATCTTCAACACTGAGGTGTTCAATGCCCACTTAACTTATAAAGTAAGAGAGTTGTAAGTCTTACATTACAAAATGATTCTTGAAGTCCTATCTTTAGCAAACAATCCCAGACCTCTGTAATTGAGCAGTGGGGACAAAACTGGCTGCATGATTTTCAACCATTTCTCAGATAGTATGGAAAGGGACACACTTAAATATTTGGGGGGCCAATATTTAGATTCTGCTGGAAGAAGAACTACACAACAGACTAACAGCTGGTTTTGGCCCATTTTCCTCTCTGTTGTTTAAGTCTAAACAGCCTTGAATACTGGGGCGGGAAGGGGGTGGGGGGGTGTTGTGTGTGTGTGTTATTTGAAAGCCATTTTAATACTCCTTTGAAGAGTTCAGACGCATAATACAGCTGGCTTTTTTTTCAAAAGAATAATAGTAAATCGATTAAATTGGGCAGTTCAAACTCTGAATGCTCCTATTAACTGCTGTCATTTCCCTGTGCTCTGGTGTACAATCACTCTGGCGTATCACAAGAGCACTCTAACCTGCACATAGCAGATTGTGTCCCATATGTTTCTTGTCAAGGTCATCAAATGAGTTAGCACCAGAGAGTGCATCCAGCACTTTTTCCAAGTGAACTGATCTTCAGATGTCTTGTGTGAAATCAGAGCCTGCTATGACTACAAATTGTTAAACATTGTTTGCTCTGAAAATCAGTAAAAAGGCTGTGAAACCTGTAACTTGTGAAGGGCAGCAAACTAAATCGGTAAAACCTTGTAATTACAAAGTCCCTCAGGTATTATATATATAAAATAGACATTTGCAATGTCCTTGTGAGAGTCCCTCCAGAAAGACAGATGGCCTCTTTAATGCCTGTATGATTCTGGTTGCAAGTCAAATAATCTGATGTCCAGGGGAGAAGAGATGTGACCCCCGGTTTCACTTCTGAGACTTGGCCCAGGACTCCCTGTGTGATCTTACTCTGCTCCCCTTAAGCAGGATGAGCTTTCTTCTGTGTTTGCATAGTACGGATGCAGGGATGGGGAGTTTACATTTAGCACTTTGAGCTGCTGCTGTAATGACAGGCATAATATCAGAAAGGAGGTGGCATTAATTACCACAGGTAGAAATCTAAATAGTGAAAGACAAAAAACAATGACCAGTAGAAGATGGTTATACAATTTTTAAATTCTGCAGTGAGCTCTTCTGGGTCACAACCCCATGCCATTTTCTGTGAGCTTTTCTGCTTCTCTCCCACTAATGAATCTTTTATTCTTCATCCTGAAAGAGTATTTTCCTGTGATTCACACTATTCTACTTCCGTTGGCATCTTTAAATATTTAATTATTTCCTCTATGGTCACCACAGACAAATAGAAAACTTTAATGTAGCAGCCTAACAAAACAATCCTGGATTTAATTGAACTTAAATTACAACGTGCTTTGGCTGCTTATGGTCACCCAACGGAACATCGTGGAACAAAATAAAGGTCTCAATTGCTAACCATATTTCAATGTTGTCAGTGGCAAAGGGGAGAGAGGAATTAATTCTGCAGTACTGTGAAATTCCAAAACACTAAGCCAGACAGATTTTCTTATTAGAAGTTGTTAATATGTCTGCCTGAGCTCTGCAAGGAAGCATGAGGTGCAAAAGCTCCATTCTATAGGAATTCCACTTTTTCTTTCAAGTTGAAGTGTTTACTCCTTAGGGAAATTGCACTTATAAATACAGCCAAACCCATTTCCCATAGAAAAATAAATACACAGAAGACAGCAACACAGCTTTTAATTTGCCAAAACATCCAAATGCCCTGTTTCCTTGAAACCACAGACACTCAGGCATCAATCTGTTCTTGTCATTCCAATTAATTCGAGAGACAGCTGTAGCAGAGGGTTTGTTGAAAAACAGCCCTGGCATGATGGTGAGAATCTGTGTTCTCAACTGTATTGTCATATTGGGGTTTCTGTGAAGGAGGGAAGGACAAAGGTACAGCTGCCGTCAGAGGTCAACAGCCTAACCCTGCTGTAGCCCTCTCCACCCAGGTCTTCCCCAAACCATAACACAGCCGTGCTGCTAGCTCCCATCACAGCCACCTGCCTAGCCTAGTCCACAGGGTAGAGGCTCCAATTAAGGCTCTGCTGTTAAAGGGCATCAGCACCTGAGAAAATCTGTGCATGTCCAGGCTTAAAGCATATCAGAAGAAAAGCCTGAAGCCTAATGAATAGGCTGATATAGCCACAGCAAAATGCTAAAATGCTCTTGCCTTTTACCACAAAACCATTTTCTTCTCTGTGCTTAGTCTCTCCGTATCTCTCACCCATGCAAGAGTCTTGGTTATCAGCAAAGGTAGATCAATGGAACTGTTACCCATGCCTGATGTTACCCACTCCCAATCTGCCCCTTAGCTGGACCTTCTTTAGTCTTATTTTCCATGCTAGCTCAGCAGACATTATCAAAAGTGTCAAGTAGCTAGCAGCTCTCACTTCTCAACTATGCAGCCAACAAATGCCCCAAATAAACACACTGGATTTAAACTCCTCTCTTGGAAAAAGCTGACTTCAGTAAATCATCAATGAGTAATAGAAAAGAAGGTACAAATCTCAGCAGTGGAGTAAGGGAAGAAGTGAGCACCTACAGAGAGGCTAACACACATAAGTCCTCTCTATTATGGCCAAGCATAGAGCCTTTGAGAGACAGGCAAGGAAAAGAAGCTGCTCAACTGTAAATAGTTTAGAAAGCAAATGTTTAGGCAATGAAGTTTGTTAAATCTTCTAGGACTAGAGCTGCTTCCACACAAGCCCAATGCCTTCCCCTGCAACTTACTCCAGCAGCTAATTCCATTAAAGCAGGAGGTGAAAGCAAGATCCAACTAATCAGGACCATAGCTTTGCAATAAGCTGATGTCTGACTCTGTCAGGATGATGAGGGTGTGGGGAGTAAGTAGGAGTATATGCTGGGACTGAAATTGCAGTAAACAAAACTCAGGTGAGTAATTTCCTTCTTTTATGCAGATGGCTGTGTTAGATTCCTGGGTTTTATTGAGCAAAAATCTTGCAGAGTGACTCTGTAAGAAGCTTCTGACATAGGTGGACAGGAAAAAGAAAAAAAAAAGAGACCTTGCTATGAATCGTAGACTTGTTTGGTTGAAAAGACTTTTAAGATCATCAGGTCCAACTGTCAACTTGGCCCTGCCAAGTCTACCCTAAACCATGTCCCTAAGCACTATATCAAGTCATCTTTTAAATACCTCCAGGGATGGTGACTCACTTCCTGGGCAGCCTGTTCCAGTGCTTGACAACCTTTTCAGTGAAGAAATGTTTCCTAATATCCAAGCTAAACCGCCCACTGGTGCAACTTGAGGCCATTTCCTCTCATCCTATCACTTGTAACTTGAGAGAATGGACTGACACCCACCTTGCTACAACCTCCTTTCATGTAGTTGTAGAGAAGTATAAGATCTCCCCTCAGCCTCCTCTTCCCCCGCCTAAATACCCCCATCTGCCTCAGCTGCTCCTCACAGGATTTGTGATCCAGACTCTTCTCCAGCTCCACTGACCTCCTCTGGACACACTCCAGCACTTCAGTGTCTGTCTTAAATTGAGGCGCTAAAACCTGAACACAGCATTCGAGGTGTGGCCTCACCAATGGGGACAGGGGGACGACCACTGTTCTAGTTCTGCTGGCCACACTGTTCCTAATGACTGCACCTTTCCCATGCCTCGCAGAGGACTAATGCCCACTTCTGTGGGCCTAGGCTCTTGCCTACATACTTGGCAATCACCCTTTTCCCTTTGAGATCTGTCAGCCCTGTCTATGGCTTTCACACTCTATCATCTGTGTTTCCACATGTTGCTTTCCACAGTCTTTGTTTCCTGATGGATTTTTTTTTTAATGTATGCGAGTTCACCAGTCAGGCCCTTGAACAAAGTTCATCAAGAGTGAGAATTCTTCGCGTGCTGTGTTTCCAGGCAAGAGAGCAAGAGACTGCTGGAGAGCAAGAGCTGACTTGCAGGGCTTGTGAGCAATTTAACATGAGCTATTGTGTCTAGGCTCCTCAAAACGCAGATGAAACAATAAAATTGTCTAGGGGGGCTGTTATGCTGCTGCATACCTTGTCCATGTAGGCATCTGAAGCATGTTTACCCAGATTTTTGCCCTCAGGTCTTCCTTACATGCAGGTTCATCCAGAACTCACATGCTCTGCTGTCTTCAGAGTAAGATGGTTTTAAATGATTCAGCACTTAAAGAAATAATTGTTAGTGTACTTAATTGCTACTGGATTTTTTTTTTCTTAATTTGCATTGACGCTGCATTTTATTTTTAGATTGGCTAAATTAGAAAGCTGCTTTGTACTCAGACAAGCATGGGTAACCCCACACATTCAACATCATGTCAGGTTAATTGTCTAGTATGACAAATATGGTGAATGAGATACCAGAGGATGCGGTACAACCAATTTTTTTTCTGTGAAACCATGGTGGGTAGATAGTTGACTGTCTTTTTGTATCTGCTTCGGCTTTCATTCCTTTTCTTTTTATAAATACAAAGCATACCTTGCTTATTCTAAAATCTGTTCTTGGGTAAAGTAAAGAGAACAAAAGCATCTTTTTCTTTTAACTTGAAAATCTAAAGGAAATACATTCGTCCTGACAGCCAGCTGGCATTGGTGCAAGACCTCACTGGGCTAATCGTCTGCTGCTGTAGAGAAAAGAGGGTCCACATGCTGACGCACTAGGAATTGATCAGATGGCAGCAGACAAAACTGTTTTTTCACACAGTGGATGTGACTTCAGCAGAAGGCAGATTTCCAAGCCAGTGAAGTCCAGGGGACTCCTCAGTACAGTCAGACTGAGCCCAACAGCGTTTCCTTTCTGTTTCTGCTAGGGGTGCGGTAGCAGTGAGCTCCAAGCTGTGAGAAGATAGCTGGGTTCACTATTCCAATGCTCTCCCTACACTGAGGTATTGGGGTTCCTGATCTTCCAGAAACTTAGGAAGCTAGCTCATAACAGTTGCAAGAGAGAAGAAAACTGGTTTCACCTCCTGTCTTTGTTTTGGAAGATTACAGCTCTGCCCATGAACTGCAGTGACAACCTCTGTAAGGGAATAAAGCAGACAAACTGCCCAGCAAAGGCCAGTAAGTGTTCGTTCAGTGTTTTGAAATCTCACATTTTTTCAGTACTAGTATCGGCTGGGTAAGAAATAAAAGATGTTGCCTACAGGGTTAGCCCTTGCAAAGTGGGTGCTGATCAAGATTACTCTGCCATGACTCAACCACCCCACCGTAAGTTTAAATAGAAAACAAAAATAACAGATGCTGGTTTTAATGGAAAAGCAAATTTA